ACACCTTATCTTTCACTCTCCGCCTCGACTGGACAAGTACTCCCAGTTGATGCTAGTCCTATCGTTCATTAACGCCAAAATGATCTCATGATTCCCGTGAGCTGATGTCCATTACACAGTTCATACAGCTTAGACTGTATATTTACGAGTTTGTGCAGTTATCTCAATGTGTAATAGAAAACTGCGTGAATCGACATGCGAAAATTATTGCACCCCTTTCCAGTTTTTGGGGATGTTTTCCAACCGTAATTACTAACATAAACATTTTACGCATCTGAATGGTCAATGAATGGGAAATTTAACTATAAACTTTCATAATATATCATTATTANATTCGCCGACGTTTCGGCTACCGTGGTTAACGTTTCTCAAGGCAGGTTTTACAATCAAAATTTAATTTAAGGAAAACACGCCCGAAAATCACAAACTTCGCAGAGGCAAACATAGTACATTGTAGTCGCATGGCTCAAATGCATCAACTTGCGTCTGCCTCGCTCACAACGCTTTCCCTAGGGCCTACCATGTCACATTACTTGCTTACGTTGTTTTCACTTCAGACGCGGGGATCTGTTGCAGCGCTAGCTATTTCAAACGTATTGCACTTTAACGCACAGAATGTAGTTATCCTTCATTGAACGATAGCACTAAGCCTCTTCCGAAGAACCATGATCGATACAGTCCTCTGATGACTCATCTGCTGTTTCAGGGCCCACTTCCAGGTCGCTACCTGTGTCTTGCTAACATGAAATTATCATCATGGCATCACGTGATCCTAGGTCACAGATTTGGTAGACGATGACACCGCAGATCGAACAGTTGTCACGTGGAAGTTCCTTTGCTGTATGCTTTATGTAGACAAGTTCAAATAAGCAGATTTCAAGGGAGTGTAAATAACTGATAGCAATGAAATTTGTCACTTTCTTTACATATTCTAGTTAAAGTAAGAGATAGAATAATGAAATTTTTTTGCTTAGCTGTGTCAATCAGTTATTATTCAGATTTTCGAAAATGGGAGTTACAGAGTATAGGACTGAGGAAATATTGTAAAACACCTAGTACATGAGTGGGTGTGATAAGTTCGTCACAGAGTATCGAATGCTAACCTGCTAAACATGCACAGGTAAAGGACTGCTAACAATGAGGAAAACGACAAAATTACAACAAACTCATACCAGTGAACTTGAACAACGAGTGACCGAACACTTACTTGGGAAACGTTCACGGTCGAGCGAACCGTCATGTAGAACAATCCTTGAACCCAAAACAACGGCAGACGTAGCCAATCACGCCAAGAATGGATGCGATGTTCGATTGGCCCGGAGGATTTCTTTTCCATTTCGACCTCACGTAAGGGAGCTACAACAGCAAGGGGACACAATAGCGAAGTGATAAGATTAGATCATCTCACTGGTTTGTGTGTCTGTGCATATTCCGGTGTTCAAACTGTCCCATAAACAGGCTAGTCGATTGGCCTCTCACCAAAATGAAATCACAGGCGTTGAAAAACGCTGAATGTGACGACAGAAAGCAGTTCAAAACGACAATGAGAGAAATCGAGTGAAAGTATTTTTCCTCATCGATACGATGGAATTAATTCAAGTGGATATTGTGAAGCTGTGAACGGAATTCATTCAGTGAAAAACATCAAAGGAGTTTGCGCNTTTGCGCAGAAACTAGCAAATAAGTAATGCACAGATGTAGCACCAGTGTGATTTGGGAAGGGTGACAGTAACTTTGATCAGTTGACATCAATACATGACTGGTCTCTATCCCGATTTCATGAAACACGGTAGGGCTTTTTGCATTACCAACAGTTAAGACAAGCATTTCAAGGCTCTTAGTTTATGCTACGTTCAAATATGTTCAAACTTCCTGATCCACTCCATTGATGAGTGGTTGTGCGCAGGCCGCTTTAGTCGCTGTCATCGGTGTGTTTTGGGCTCCAGTGTCTGAGGTTCGAACCCCGTCATAATCCACAATGAACAACACAGGGCGACTCAGCTGACATGCGAGTGAAGATCGCCTATGTTTCTTAACCACAACTGAGATGTTCTAACGAGAGTGAATGCATGATTGTACGTAGAGGTAAAGTCCGAAGGATAGCCAGTCAAAATCAATAATACTTATCCCATATCACTTGTACATTTGAATGAAGAATGATTAAAGAAACAGTACTAAGTACCAGGTAGCATAGGGGGTCTCCACGTACTCCCTTCGAGTAAGACACCTCACCCCATACAACCACAACGACAAATGAAAAATGCCTAGATCGCTCAGTCTCAATAGACTAAAACGAAAAGAACAGCTCTATTGGATGTGGAACGCATCCACGGGTCTGTGTACATCGGCCTCCAAAAGCTATGCTCATTTCAGTGCTGCAAAACCGTGTGCACACACAAGCGTAGAATAATTGAGGACTAGCTCATGTGTATAAGCGTACAACTGGTGTTGCAGCTCATGCGCTAGATTAGTTGGGTTGCCGATTCACGCATTTGAGGACAGAGTTGAGGGCGACAATCAGCGCCAATTTAAGATCGTTTGTCCCGCAAACTGTCTTAGAGAGGAACGAACAAGGACACACACAAGCGGATACATGCAACATTCATCTGTTCATCTGCAACTAACAGGTTTGGGAACAGAAAAACACAGAGTGGCGCTTCACCTGTTTGTCCGGTAAACAGGTAGATCCAACCGACCCTTGATGTTGTTTCCTAGCGAAGCGGGGCAGATAGATAAATAGCTCTCTGCTCAAGTGTACTTTACAGTCCTTTCTCAGAGTACCCATGGAAAAGTACTAAACTATCTATTGGATCGGTAGTCAGTGCTACAGAAAGCGTGAAATATCAATGCATAAACTTTTCTAACTTGAAACAAACAAACATATCTACACATAACTTTTATCATCAAACCGAATTTACAAACAACATTACTATCACGAGTAGCAAATACCCATCACCCATCCGGGTCTACAGTCTACAGTGAGTTGATTCACAGAATGAACAAACTGTGATAATCACCAACGGGAAAGAATGGTTAATGACGAGATCGATCCAGTCTAGTGTTCAAAGTAAATGTCAGCCCAGTTTTCGCGAAGCTCATATCAGCAGCTAGGATCGCATTCTATCTTCTTTGAATGCCCGACGCCGNGAGCTCGTCCTCTCTACCCCTTGTCAAAAAGACGTGTACTCAAACAATGCAGCGGCATTGGTGTCAAATGTGACTCAAGTACCAAGCAGGCATTTTTATAGTTTTGGTTAAGTCTAAAGAATAAGAACGAAGTTCAGTATAATCACTTCATGACTGTGAACTGATAGATGATACGTGGTACATCTCCTCATCAACACGTGAGAACCCGGGGTAGAATGGTGGTAAACAAATAGCCATAATTGGAAAAGAAATAGGGCATTTAGCTTCTTAAAGTGAGGTACAGTTAGTAGTAGGGAGCAAACAAGGTCAGACAACAATAAATGTCATACAATAATGGTTGCGAGCTTATAAAATCTAACGAAAAGGAAACGG